TATGAAGCATTTTTATGTTTAAATCTAAATTCTCATCTCTAAACATCTCTATTAACATAGCAGATTTGAGTTGCAACCATCCTCCTAATAAAATATGAAATCTTTAAGATTGCAAAGCATTTGTAAATAATGGATCCTTTAAATATCCCTGAACTTTATTCTAAAACTTAGAAGGAGAAATAATAATTGCTTTATCTAACCACTGATACCATTTTAGCATTTGATGAAGATGTTAATTTATGGTTGGTTAGCAGTTTATGGCTGCCATTAGTTTTTCAGTTTGGTCCACATTAGAAATCTATTTTTCTTTTTTATTTTAGTCTGAGACAATTATATAAAGATATGGTTATGTTTTATCTAAAATGTATCATTCTACTATAGCATTTCAAATTATTCACAGATCATAGTTCTTATATGTGCATATATGAATTTAAAAATACAGCAATAAAATGCTTGAAACAGATCATAAATTTGCTTCATATTTTATTGCATCTCTGAATCAGGTTGAGGAGACAAGGGCAACTATGGTCTTTGGGAAAGAATTAACTCTTTCCCAAGCTGGGAAAGAGAATGATATCACAGTGTGCATAATTAGAGCCAACTCCCCATCAGAGCATCCTGGTGACTAGTAAAATAGGCTTGTCCATCATATATGGGGGGGGGGGGTTACTGCAAAGTCCTTTTTCCCTTTGCAGTCTAACCTTCCCAGCCCAGTCATTTCTCTTCCAGAGCCCTCTAATCTGGATTTCTATATTGCCTGAATTAGAGAACACAGGGGAAGGGAAAGAAAGAAAAGTCACACACCCATATGCACACGCACTCAGGAGTACCTGGTAATTTTGCAATAGTCCAGAAGTCTATTAAGTCTATTGAGTCGGGTTAAGACGAGTAATTTAGAAAAAGTGGTAGAATTTAACCCAAATCAAACCTCAGGGAAAGCGAGTAAAGAAAGAGGTTCCCTGCCTTGCTAGGAAGCAAATTGCTCTTTGGGGTTTAAAGCTGGGCCGCTGTCTCAGAATTCCTAGGTTTGGAGCGGCTGCGGGGTGCTCCTGGACGAGCCTGGCATCTGCACTTGAACCCACCAGGCCACTGGGGTACAGGGGAAAACGCGATCCTTGTGCCACCTCTCAAAAGAGAGTTTGAGGTAGAACCCCTGAAGTTTGCTTTTTGTCCCAAGGAACTTGGAGGTTGGATGGCTTTGTGCCCGCAGGAGGGGCCGGAACTCCAGTCCGGGGGAAGCACTGGGAGAAGGGGTGCTCCGCGGCTGTGTACCCGGAGTCCCTCCCGGGGCGCAGCGCCAGCAGAGCAGCGCCGTGAGCGCGCATATTGTGGACGTCGTTCTGTCTGCAACCTTGGGCTGGCTGGCCTGCGGGAAAGCCGCCCCCTCCCTCCTCCTGCTCTCTCGGGTCCCCAGCAAACACCCTTGCCCTGGCCCGGGGAGAAACAGACACCTAGTTATTCCGCACAGCCTACAGAATCCTGGTTCTATACATCAATCGATCAGAAGAGCCAGAGATCCGGCAGGGAGAAAAAGACTCCTACTCTAAGAGTTGTTTTAAGTCAAACTTAAGTTACTGTCTCCTGGCTTTCCCTTCTGTTTCCCTCCTTCCATCTACAGTGCCCCAGGCCTGATTTAAAGGGCCAAATTTAAATCAACCTGCGGCTCAGTGGCTTGGCAAATCCAGGGGCATGCGAGTTATAAGCGCCAAGGCAGAGCGCGCAGGAGACGGGCTCCTTTCTTTTGCCCACACAACAAAAAATGTTAATTGATCTAAAGTTGCTTGGCACGTGGATAATTTTGTCTGACCTGCATTTTAATTAAAAGAAAACTTATTTATGTTCCTGGTGTTTATACTTTGCAATTTAATTTTGTTGAGAGGCACCATTGTGTAGCAGCACCCCTCACCCCACTTCCCCATCTGAATCGCATTCTCATTAAAGGTTTTACTAAGGAGCCTCGCCTGACCGGGATTCATTACCTCCCGCCTTCCATGAGCACACTTTCGGGTCTCCACTGGCTCTGTCGCTCCGCCCGGCAGAGCCGCCACAATGTGCTGCGAGCCGGGAAGTGAACTCTCATCATTATTTTTCAAAGTCTGGGAAGTGTATTATCCTTTTTCCTAGTGGTAATTAGTTACCATAGCATCTAATACGTAAATGTGCCCAGAGCACACCATTAACAGTTAAACGGAGGATTCAATTTAACACATGATTATATCTTTCATAAGTCATTACATTGGAAGTCAGTGCCACTCATACTGGAGGAATCTCAGGGTCCGGGGCGAGTAGAAACGTTTTGTTTCCGGCGTCCGAGACCAAGAGTGCGTGGTGAAGGGAAGCTCCTGAGCTTGGAGCCCTCCCTAGCGAGCTGTCCACAGTGAGGCTGGGTGGTGGGTGGGATAGGAGGGAGAAGAATTTAAGCTCAACTCAGGGTCTTGGAGGGGGTGCCCAGCTGCTGAGAGTGAAGAGCGCACCGCGGAGTGCGCGCGCGCGAACACGCACACACGCGCGCGCACACACACACACACTCACATGCACCTCGGGGAGGGAGAAGGAGGGGTAACTAGCAAGCTTTTCGAAGATGATCATTTGCTGGTCCTGTAGGAGTCCACAAAAAGCCCCCACGCTTCTGTAGGTGCCCAGTGTTAAGCTGGAGATGGGACCTAAATGGGAATTAGAAATTAGAGAAGGAAATTGAAATTAGAGAGGGATTCGAGAAGGAAACCGGTGGAATAAAAGGCCAAGTGGGACTCTGGGTCCTCTCTCGGCCTCGTCTGCCCACTCTCAGTTCCCTAAGAAAAGCCAGCAGCGGGGTCCGCCAGGCAAGTTGCGCTCCGGAGAAGCGCCCCAAGGCGCGGTGGGTGTAGGAGCAGGCTCAGGAGCGGGCAAGGTACTCTGGTAGTCTGGTACGCCGCAGCCTTAGGGGACAGGCCGTCTGCTCTAGCCCAGGGGCACCTCGGGAAGACCACACTGATCCCCTGGTGCTCAGTCACCCAGTCCCGACGTGGACGCTCCATACTGGAAAGACATCTGGGGCCCACAAGTGTGTGGGCCAACTTTCCAGACTGGCCCAAAATTCAGGATTCAAACATCAGAAGGAAAGCGGCCCCTGGCGTTTGCCAGGTGGGGGAAAATTTCTCTCTCTAACCGTCGGTTTCCTTCTCTAAAAGCTGCTGCTGAAGAAACTCTGGAAAGGTTGGATGAGGACCGAGAGGGCCACCTAAGTAAATCACAGGAAACCCTGCTTCTGTTCCTTTCAGATGTCCTACCTTTATTCCTAGTAGGAATAAACCTCACTAGGTTGGGCAATTCCTGGATTTGGAAAGAGAATTGATTTGTCTGAAATTATCACAATGAAAATTAATATTATCAACCCTGCTACTTTTAATGATTATACATATTTACCTGACATTTCAACTTATTCTCAACATCCTCTCCTTTCCCCCACCCCCATGCCTCCTAAGTCTCTTTCAAGGCTAAGACTGGAAAATTGAGTTATTCAGGGGTAAAAGGAGGGTGAGCATTTCTTTTTCTTCTGAAGTCCATGATTTGTTATTTTTACAATTTCTAATAATAGTTGAACAGTACAGAGGTTGCAGAGGAAGTATTTCAAGGAGGCCTTCTTAATAATGAGAACTAGTAAGCGGTAAATCTTGCAACAAATGTGTCCCCTACAATGTTAATATGCAAAAGGAAAAAAAAAATTCCACTGATGGTAGCTGTGGTTAATTCCTAATCAGAATGATGGACAGCAGGGCCAGAACAATACAAACTAATGGCTGTGTTGCTGATCACTTTGCCCCTTGATTAAAGACACCCAATTATGGCGCAGAACAGTGTCGTAATTATGTTTCTTAATCACATCCAGGAGGTTTAATTGCCTTAACGATGTGTTTCATTAAATGAATTTAGGTATTATAGTCGACAGTTTTCATACACAGTTGTTTTCAAATTAACATAATATTAGACATCGTCATGGAAATTGTTTTAATAATCATAATTAGACGCACCCAGGCTTTGTCTGGTAAATGCTGAGAGACGGGTCTCTTCCTGCCTGGGGGCTGCCCTGGTCTCTTCCCTCCCTCTCCCCCCACTCCCAGACTGGGAGGGCTCCAGCTTCAAGGCCCTTTGCTGTTATGTTTTCTGAAAAGTTACAAGTTCTGATTAATCTTTTTTGATGGCAAGTGGGGCAGAAAATATCCTCCCTCACCCCCCACTAAGTTTGATGGCATTTAGGGCTATCATTAGAGCGGAGGCTATACAGACAAAAATGCATTGAGCATACCGCCTACAGAGGAAATACTGTAACTTCACCACCACCATCTCGATAACCTCCACCACAATAAAATCAAGCCTTCTATATTTGAGAGCATTATTAAGGTCCAAATACAAGCCCATACAGACATTCTTTAATAGAATCAATGCCCGACCCAGTCCAAACATAGTCCCTAAAAATCTCATTAACAAGCAACACTAGTAAGTTTTGAAAATCCCAATGGGCATCGCTTACACTTATAATTCAACCTGCTTGATTCTTCTGTCACAAAAAAAGTGGAAAGCCTCAATAAAATCCATCCTCAGAGAATCCAAATCCATCTCTTCTCCTTGGCTTTCAGGCAGCTAGAGAGAGAAATTCTGATGAAAACTCTTTAAGAAACTTTACCTTCTTTGATGGGCCCTGGCATGGTTAACAGTGCCATACAACTGGGAAAAGAATTGCAGAGAGAGCATGGCCTGCAAAGTTCACGCCAGCAGACAGGGACTCCAGGCCTCCTCTGGGTCTCACCACTGACCCCATTTGCCTCTCCTCCAATGACCAGGCCCAGCCACCATCCTTTTAACAAGAAAACAAGTGAACTAGAGCTACTGCTAACTGTGTATCCCTACCAAAACTTTAGTTCCACCTTCTCTGAAACGCCTTTCTTTTTCATCACCTTTCAAACTAAGAATAACACAGAAGAGAGGTAATTGCTCCTTCCACAAAGCACAGCATAATAAAATGTTTGATCAAAATATTTTAATAAAGATTCTTTCTGACATAGATACACATACAAATGGTCGTACATAGCTGTCATAGTCTGATTCACCTATTTAATATATTTATCATTCTTTACACATCCAAAACCAGCCAATAGTCCACCACAGCTCCCAACTCACCATCCAACCTGACAAACTGAATTTGTATTATCTGCAAGGAGTGGAAAATAGCAGGACTCCATTTTTAAAAAAGGTTTTCTTGATTTTCATAGGATAGAAAGGCAGGCAAACAGCCATGCAAACTAAAACTGAAAGCTCACTTTGGGTAAATAGCTTCTTGCTCTTCCTTAGTTTTATTTTTTTTTAATTTTATTTTTTTTAGAAAAATAACAAAGGATTTCACACCATAGGCAAATCAAACCAGTCTTTTAACTTAAATAATTTTCCACAGGTAAAATAACTTAGATATGTACATATATATTAAAAGCAATTAAATTAGACCTTTTAAAAATGCACAGCACAGCCTGGAAAAATATTTGCTTAGCATGTTCTTACTTATAGGATCTATTGCTGTGATGTCTTTCCCTTTTAGAATGCAAAGGAATTCCCTTTCAAAAAAGAGAGCAATTCATTCATCAATTAAGAATACACCTTTCCTGTAATTTTTGGACTGAAGCAATTTATTAAAGCTCAATTTAAATACAGGGATGATGCAACTGAAAATATCCAAGTGATCTTTGATAAACCTAAGCAGCTCAGATACATCAATATGTCTCTTCATACTTGTTGGCAAATAAACCTTTTAAACACTTGGCACACAGTATAAGTTAATCTATAAAACAGAATTTTAGAGGCATTAAAAAAAATCTGCACATAAGACCCATGACCTTAACACATGATAAATACTGTTGATGTGGAAGGGTCCTTGAAGAATAACAAATAAATACTATGAATTGTTAATACATCATTGCAGAGTGGAAAGTAACAAGGTGCACATAAATATTTTTAAATGCAATTCTTTCAGCCACAGTCAGTTTTTTATATCACTCTTGCCAAAACTTTTGAGCATTTTCACGGGATTAAAGTTCAGAGACAATAAAAAATACAAGTCTTTCATAGCAACTTGTCTCTTTCTGGTTGTTTTTTTTTTTTTTTTTTCTTTTTTTTTTTTTCCTTCACTTAAATAAGTCTACAATTCAAGTTTTTCTCCTGGCTCAGAATCAAAATTTACTTTCAAGTGCCCTTTCTGATTTGTCTGAATGAATATTCCATCCCACAAGCCACCCAAGCCCGAACTCCTCCTCTCCCTCTCAGCACTAGCCAAATTCACAATTATTAGTACGATTAGTATTTTGTCATTTAATACTCTCCACGCTTAATAACCAAGCGACTACTTCTCCACTTATTTTTAACCTTAAAGGAAAACTCTGCTTCCTCGTGGTCTAGGTTGCCACCCAAGTTGCCACTTTTCTGCGAAAAAAGACATCCATACTCCATCCCAACTCCACCTCCCTCCTCCCTCCCTCCCCACCCCAAAGACCGAGATTCTGGGGACGTCAAGGCTAAGAGTCCCGTTTGTCTCTGATAGTTCTCCTCAGTTCTCGTCTCTGCTTTGCTCTGCAAGTGTTTCACAACTAGGAGAGGACCAAAATAAAGGGGTTGGAGGGCAGCTTTTCACTTTCCTCTAGCTTTGGGGTCGGTCTTGTGTTTTTCAGGGGGGGGTGTTTAAGGCTTCTCCGTGCACTGTTTGCAGAGGCTGGAGGAGACGCTGTTGAACAGGGCGCACTTCTCCGGGCAGGAGGCGGCCGGGGGCAGCCCAGCGCTGAACGGGTAGCCGGCAGCCTGCTCGTAGGCGCCGAGCGCCGGGTGCAGGGCAGCGGCCGCCGCCGCCGCCGCCGCGGAGCTGGGCAGCGAGGCGGCCGAGATGGCCTGGCCCTGGTTGAGGTAGGCGACAAGGCGCCGCATCTCCTCCAGGGCCTGCGCCTGCATGAGGATGTAGTTCTTGGCGAGCAGCAGCGTGGCGATCTTGGAGAGCTTCCGCACCGAGGGGCTGTGCGCGTAGGGGATCACCGCGCGCAGCTCGTCCAGCGCGTCGTTCAGGTCGTGCATCCGCCGGCGCTCCCGGGCGTTGATGTTGAGCCGCAGCGCCTTTTGCTCTTTGGATTTCTTGCTGCTGCTGCCGCTGCCGCCCCCGCCGCCCCCGCTGCTGCTGCCCCCGCCGCCGCCGCCGGGACCGCCGCCACCAAACATCACTAAACGATAGTCATGAAAACGGTAATGATTAGAACAATAAAATGATAATTGCGTGTTT